CACCATTTTCATTGCTCTTATCTATATTATTAGATCCAGGTTTTGTTTCTGGAGTAAGCCAGAGTTTCCACCTACCTTTAGCAGAAAAACTGGCAATCCTAGTCAATGCTCAAACAAAATTAACCACTCTAGCAAAGGATATCAAAAAAGTAAAAATTAACAATTACCCTTTGCATTTGATGATCACATTTAGATGAAAATTTGCAAGCAGTTTTTTTTTCTTGATGAGATTTATCACAATTTTCAGAAGTGAATAAAGTAGAATCAACTGTTGAAGTGACAAGTGGAATAACATTCAAGGAATACCTTTAAAAAACTATTTTGTAATATATAGACTTGTAATATATGCGATGCGTTTCTATCTGCATTTAGTGTATGAACGTATATCATTTTCACAACATTTATAGACCAGGGAGAATAAGAGTTTGACATATTGTAAAGGCACCCATCTGTTGCTGTTGAATGTATGTCATTTTCACAACATTTATAGACCAGGGAGAATAAGAGTTTGACATATTGTAAAGGCACCCATCTGTTGCTGAAGAATGTATGTCATTTTCACAACATTTATAGCTATAGACCAGGGAAAATAAGAGTTTGACATATTGTAAAGGCACCCATCTGTTGCTGAAGAATGTATGTCATTTTCACAACATTTATAGACCAGGGAGAATAAGAGTTTGACATATTGTAAAGGCACCCGTCTGTTGCTGAAGAATGTATGTCATTTTCACAACATTTATAGACCAGGGAAAATAAGAGTTTGACATATTGTAAAGGCACCCGTCTGTTGCTGAAAAATGTATGTCATTTTCACAACATTTATAGACCAGGGAAAATAAGAGTTTGACATATTGTAAAGGCACCCATCTGTTGCTGAAGAATGTATGTCATTTTCACAACATTTATAGACCAGGGAAAATAAGAGTTTGACATATTGTAAAGGCACCCATCTGTTGCTGAAGAATGTATGTCATTTTCACAACATTTATAGACCAGGGAAAATAAGAGTTTGACATATTGTAAAGGCACCCGTCTGTTGCTGAAGAATGTATGTCATTTTCACAACATTTATAGACCAGGGAAAATAAGAGTTTGACATATTGTAAAGGCACCCGTCTGTAGCTGAAGAATGTATATCATTTTCACAACATTTATAGACCAGGGAGAATAAGAGTTTGACATATTGTAAAGGCACCCATCTGTTGCTGAAGAATGTATGTCGCCCTCTAGAGGTTGCACTTTGTAAATACAGCTGTTTCACAAACCATGCCTCTTTTGGGGAGATATATAACATTAATAGATATTTTGTTTTGTTTACCTACTGGTTCCCAGATATGATCTCTATTTTTCATCTCATAGAGACATAACTTGGGAATGTTACCAGTATAAATACACATTGATAGCGGGAAAATTTAAGTCTGAGGAAGACTCAAAAGTGAAGGGAGGGGTAGTACAGAATTTTAGTACAAGTTTATTAAACTGTTAGAAGTTCAGGGCATATAAATGTAAGAAAATATGCCGCACAGCCCTATATTTTGACCTTTGAAAAAAAATAGTAGTGCATATGAGCTTTCCATTCTAGGATATAATTTTTTACAAGACTTCATAGTGAAAGTAGTACAGTTTTAGCAGTAAAAGGAGTTCCTGTGGGAAATTGCATTGTCTATATTTATAGAAGTGCAACCTAGAGGATTTTTGGTTATTTTTGTTGTTGGCTTGCTGTCTTATAGACATAAAATTGAGAATGGAAATGGGGAATGTGTCAAAGAGACAACAACCCGACCATAGAACAGACAACAGCAGAAGGTCACCAACAGGTCTTCAATACAGCGAGAAATTCCCGCACCCAGAGGCGTCCTTCAGCTGGCCCCTAAACAAATATATATACTAGTTCAGTGATAATGAACGCCATACTAAACTCCAAATTGTACACAAGAAACTAAAATTAAAAATAATACAAGACTAATAAAGGCTAGAGGCTCCTGACTTGGGACAGGCGCAAAAATGCGGCGGGGTTAAACATGTTTATGAGATCTCAACCCTCCCCCTATACCTCTAGCCAATGTAGAAAAGTAAACGCATAACAATACGCACATTAAAATTCAGTTCAAGAGAAGTCCGAGTCTGATGTCAGAAGATGTAACCAAAGGATAAACAAAATGACAATAATACATAAATAACAACAGACTACTAGCAGTTAACTGACATGCCAGCTCCAGACCAATTAAACTGATTGAAAGATTATGTCTTCATCATATGAATATCAGGCACAATCCTTCCCGTTAGGGGTTTAGTATCATACCATCATAACATATATGAGAAGAACATAACCTGTGTCATGCCAACAACTGGCTTTTAAATAAATGTGTTTAGTGCCGATGCAAAGACCCTATAAGTGAATCAATATTAACGCCAAAATATGCAATCTTTAATGACCTGACAACAGTATCGTAACTATATCCCTTCTTAATAAGTCTATTTAAAGGTTTTGTTAGCTTCAGAGGTGAATACTGACATTTTTGTGCTTTATAAAGAATATTTCCATAAAAAATTGGATGTGAAATACCTGAAAGTATAAGAAGTCTGCATGTTGAGCTATATTTGATGTCCTTATACCGATGATAAAATTTAGTTAATGTTTTGACTAGTTTGTGATATCGAAAACCCTGGTGTAATAATTTTTCAGTAATACATAAATTTCTCTCATTAAAATCTAAAACATTGTTACATACACGAGCGAATCGTACAAGTTGAGATATATAAACACCGTAAGATGGAGACAAGGGAACGTCACCATCTAAAAATGGATAATTAACGATAGGAAATGAAAAATCATCTCTTTTATCATATATTTTAGTATTAAGCTTTCCATTAATGATATAGATATCAAGATCGAGGAAAGGGCAGTGGTCATTGTTAGTATAAGCTTTATTTAAAGTAAGTTCAACAGGATAAATTTCTTTAGTATACCTACTGAAGTCGTCATTATTGAGAGCCAAAATATCATCCAAATATCTAAAAGTATTATTAAATTTGTGTATCAGATGTTGTTTCGATGGGTCTTTGCTGATTTTTGTCATAAATTGTAACTCATAGCAATACAAAAAAAGGTCCGCAATAAGTGGTGCACAGTTAGTCCCCATTGGAATTCCGATAACCTGACGATATACGGAATCTCCAAAGCGAACAAAAATGTTATCTAGTAAAAATTCAAGGGCATATATAGTATCAAAGCATGTCCAATTGACATAGTTTTTTTGTTTATTGCTACTAAAAAATGACCTAAAAGAGTTTGAACATATATATTCACATTCTGACTTTATAGACGTTTACCACACTACTTCTTTTATTTATATGGATCATATTACCATGTACTTTTGTCCTTTCTAAGACCTTTGTTTTTGCAAAGTTTTAACCAAACTAATTAGAATTGTATAATAACACATTATACAACATGAATATAAGTATGAATCAAATGTCAAACATTAGAAACCTTTTTATGGCTATAAATTATCCTTAAATACTCCCAATAAACCTATTACCAATACCTGATATAAAGAATATGACAAAATATAATCTTTCAATGTGTTAATACTCTGACTAAACATTATAAAACTGTGCATGTAGTAGTGTAAAGTCGAACGATTTTGCCAGGAGTTCATTTTTCACTAACTTTGAGATTAACTTAAAAAAGCATGAAAACATCATCTTGCATAAATTTGATTATCATAGATGGTTATAATTAAGGACAAGAAAAACTTCCAAATAAATCCATGCAAACCTTTTTGTCATTTGAAATGGCGAAATTAAACCTCACGAAAATAAACCACTATACAGTAGCTTTATATGAGATATATATAGATTCTACCACTTCACTTGTTGATTACGATAGTTATCTATGAGAGATGAGTTAGATTTGAAAAAACTTTGATTTGTGAGATTTACCAAGTATTCTCATGATTCTAAAATTTTATGACTAATTATTGATAGTGGATAAATATCATAATCAACTTTGTGGAGTGGTAGATAACTAGAGTCTAGATATATCTGATGAAAAGCTTCTTTGTGTATAGATTAGTAATGCGTAGTCAGGGTATTAAGGATGTTCGCTACTCTGTTTCAAAATAACAAACTTTTTAAAAGACTGCTATAAATTGAAAGTATTTAAATGAAGGAACTAAAAAAGCAGAAAAAAATAATGGGTTCGTGTGCTTGTTTTCGAGAAATAAACCATCGAAAATTTGGCGGGAAATGATTCTCTCTAGATTTTTCATACATTTAACATTGGCACCTTTTTTCTTTCAAAAACAATGAAAAAATAAGTATTTTATAAGATTTTCAAATATTGCTTTTTAAACTATATGTAACAAAATGAGGAAAAGAAAAGTAGGGGATAGCGGGCAAAATTTTTAATGGCACTACATGGATAAAACCAGAGGATTCAGAATATCTGGCAAAATATAAAAAACATGAGGAACATCCTTAACACATTGGAAGATTATCCACTGACAGGGTATTAACACATTGGAAGATTATCCACTGTGATTACATGACTAAAAACAAAACAGAAGTGTAATATACAACTAATTGTCTAACACCTTGAAAATCATAATATTTAGAGTTACTTAACATAGCAGGATTTACCTACTTTACACCTCCTCATAAATTATTAAATAACACCTTCCAGGAATAATAGTCCTGAAACAGGGTAAATGGGTCATTATGCCTAACAAAATATCTCTGTGATATTGGCATGTTTTGATTTTCAACAAGTGACTGAGCTCCTAACCATTGGTGTTTTATCATTGACATATTGATCAGTATTGGTCATGTTGGTATGGGAAAGATAAAACAGCAGATCTTCTGGTATAGAACTTAAGTATGATTTCTGCTATAACATGTAAAAGCATGATATAACTTGAAGTCTGGTTTCCTTCTTTCTTTCCTTTTCATGATAAGTATGTAGCATATAGGTAATTTGATATATTATTTTGCAGAAAGGACAGAATAACCATACAGGAGAAAGAAAGAGAAGAATTGAAGCAGAAACAGTTAGAGATAGAAGCCAAGAAATTAGCCGAAGACAGACGTAAACAAACACTTAAGGTAGGCCTCTTTTAAAAACTTTGAAATAGATATGAAGACATTAGTTGAAGTAAAATAGGAACATGTTATTACAAGTTAATTGGTTGAAATTGTGTTTTTGGGGTGTTGTTGTCTCTGACATTGAAGATTATCTCCCTTATCACCTTTTCATTCCTAACTAGTTTATAAATTTATTGAAGATTATCTCCCTTATCACCTTTTCATTCCTAACTAGTTTATAAATTTAGAAGAAGAAAAAAATGACAGGATGGATGCGCATAAAACAACAGTCTCTTTTGTTTTTGCGTTCTATTCATGACGTCACAAATAGCATTCATTTTGATTTTCCGTGAAAATTCAATGAAAACGGGTAAATTTATGTTGATTTTTTGGAGAGGAAACATAGTGTGCAAGCGTCGACAACAAAGATATTTAAGCCTAATGTTTGTTATGACATTTTACATATCTGACTTGAATATTTTGTTTGTCGACGCCTGTGCTCTATGTTTCGTAGGTCTTAATTTGGTTGAAATCCAGATGATTTTGTCCAATTTCTCAAAAATCTCTATTTTCAACCTATTTGGGATTTCAAAATCAATGCTTAAAAATAAAACATTGGCAAAATAGTTCTATATAACTTTCTCACGTGTCTTTTAATCAACTTAAAACACATTTTATCCTGAAACATTGAACTTAATAATCAGGGCCAAATTTGGTCCTTACCGAACTTACTCCTTTGGAATCTTGGATCTGATGTTAATACATTAACCAAATTAGAAAATCAAGAACATAGCATAAGAAAAAAAAACGTCAAACAAAAGTCAACAAAAAACTTCCTTAAAACTAAAGTCTGTGCAACTCGAACCCAGCTCTAATTTAACACCAAACATTCTTTTAGAGTGCCAAGATCCTAGCGTCAACTTCCATACAACGGTACCGTGACCTAAAATTGCTTGCTCATGTATTCCCGTCATTTGAACTCAGGTGCATAGTTGTCCCATAGGTAATCATACCATATCTCCTTATTTTTATATCAAAAGGTTTGCTGTGATATTCCTTGATAATAGATAAATGCCTTTTACAAATTATACATATCAAGAGATATCAATACATTATATATAAAAGTGAAATGTATGCAGATAAAGTCAAAGAAGTAAGCAAAAGAAATACAGAAGTAGTGGATTACCATTTCACATATATTTGCGATGTTCTGTTACAGATGGTGGCTGACGAAGCTCGCCGTGAGATTGAAGAAGAAAAGATTATGGCAGAGGCATGTGATCAGCTGGAATCTAGTGAGGAAAATGATGAGGAGGAGTATGAAGCATGGAAAGTACGGGAGTTGCGAAGACTGAAACGGGACAAGGAAGAGAGAGAAACGTTAGTATGATATACTACAATGTGGAACTGTATAGATCGTTTCACTTAAAATATTTAACACATGTAGTCTTTGTAGGCCTGTATACTGGATATAGCTGTTTACTCTCTCCCAATGCTCTTTCAATCACACAAAATAATAACATAACAGGCATCCAGTTACAACGTTAAGAAATATCTGGAATTCTTAACTTTGTTCCTTCCTTTATACATGTTACAATTCAAATTGAAATGAGTGAACTGTATGTTAAAGTTCACAGTTGTTCACCAAAATATCAGTTTTTAATTTTTTATTAAGGTGGATATTACTGCTATTCAACCTTAATTATTTGCTCACCTTTCCAAAGGAAATGTGAGCTTTTGCCATCACTTTGCATCTGTCGTCTGTTGTTGTTGTCGTCATCCGTTCGTTGTAAACTATTTCAAACATCTTCTCTGAAACTACTTAACCAATTCCAACCAAACTTAAGCTGAATGATCCTTAGGGTATCTTGAATAAATTCTGTTTTATTTTCTGTTTCGTCAAAAAAACATGGCCACCATGGCTAAAAATAGTACATAGGGGTAAAATGCTGTTTATGGCTTATATCTCAAAAACTTAAGCATTTAGAGCAAATCTGACATGGGGGAGAGGGGGAATATGTTCATTAGGTTAAGTTCTATCAGCCCTGAAATTTTCAGATGAATCTAACAACCCATTGTTGGGTTGCTGCCACTAAATTGGTAATTTTAAGGAAATTTTGCAGTTTTTGGTTATTATCTTGAATATTATTATAGATACAGATAAACTGTAAACAGCAAAAATGTTCAGCAAAGTAAGGTCTACAAATAAACTTATATGACCAAAATTGTCAATTGACCCCTTAAGGAGTTATTACCTTTAAAGTCAATTTTACACAATTTGTTCATCTAGTTTGCTTACTTTAAAAAATCTTCTTTTTTGAAACTGCTGAATCAATTTCAGCCAAACTTGGGCTGAATGAGTTTCAGAGTATTTAGTATAAATTTTGTATTTTATTTCCTTGTATGTCAAGAAACATAGCCACTATGGCTGAAATGGAACATAGGGGTAACATGCACTTTTTTGCTTTTGAAGAAAATATGACAGATACAAAGAACATTTAAATGGAATTTTTAAGCCACTATTTAATATATATTGAAAAGCAAAAATAATCATTGATGAAAGATTTAAGCAAAAAATCACAGGTGAGTGATTTAGGCTTTAGAGAGCCTCTTATATAAATTTTCAAAATGGTTACAAAGTAAGATAAGGTACCTTATTTTTCTTTTTATTACATTTAAGAAATTTTTATTTTCATTTGCTTCTGAAATGCTCTATTAAACCATCACAAAATGTATCAAAATCTTTTAATTTTCACATGCTGCATTGTACATAACTTACCTTCCTTTAATGTTCTTGGAACTATGTGTATTTTAGTTGGCAGAATTTGTATTATTTTGTTATCAATTCCCTATCAGTTGATAAAGTTTATGGTGTTTACAACTAAGTACACTAGACTACTATGACCAATCAGTGAAAATAATATACAATGAAAATTAAACTTGATCATTTTGTTATTAAATCGTGAAAAAAGGCAGACACAAAAAAACATGATGTACCTTATTTATTTTGACTCTCTGATTACGATAGGTAATAACGTGTTATTTATATTGTAGAATAGAGAAGGAGAAATCCGAGATAGAGAGAATGAGAAACATGACAGAGGAAGATAGAAGACAGGATTTGAAACTAAATCCTAAAACTGTCACAAATAAGGCTCCTAAAGGGAAATACAAATTCTTACAGAAATATTACCACAGAGGGGCATTCTTCTTGGTAAGAATTAATATTAATACAGAAATAGAATCAGACAAAAATGTCAGATCATTTTACATGCTTTCTTCTTTACAAGGCTCCCAATTATGTCAAAGTAAGCACACTTCATCATATTAAATTAGATTAATATTCATAAAGCCTGATTTAAATCATAGCAATAAAAACTATTACAGGAAATACTGATTTTCATTGGCTAATTATTGCTGGTCATGATTGTCTCCCTTTGGAAAAGTACAAAATGGGAAACCAGCCGATTTTTAGTGTAGATTTTCACAAAATCATGTTTAAAGGGCTTTTTTTTACAATCACAATTGTGTAGTAGTGAGAAAAGGTCAACATCTTGTAGTTGGAGCCAAAATAGTGAAAGTTGGCAGGTACGGAATATTCTTAAATCTGATCAGGAACTTATATATTGACGGGACTTGAAACTACCTAATTATTGCAGATTTTATCGTCAAGTCATAGTAAATAAATTACACGATACAGAAACAGACAAGTGTAAAATACGTACTCCCTATTATCTGTATAATTTCTAATTAGCAATAGATGCCATTCAAACTACGTAATGAGTGATGCCAGTGTATCAAACTTGTAATCTGTCGCTTCAAATTTGTCATTATCGCATTCATTTCATCAGAGAAGGGTACAGAATGCAGACAGGGCAATAAAAAAATGGCGCTGATTGCATTCCCAGTATTAATTGCGAATTTCACAAACCATTATAAAGCACTTCACATCAAATAAATCACACTTATATTGGTAATTTTATTTGACAAAATATATCAATTTTAAGATCAAACTTGTATTTGTTGAATGTTTGTAATAACGTGTTTAATTTATTGAGCAATCTAGATGGTTTTGCAGTCAGACGCTTCCAAAATCCATAAATCTCGCTTCTCCTGAAGTTTGGGATTTTATTAATTTTATCAATTTTATACTGAAAAGCTTATCAGATTCATTTCCAGTTAGATATACCGTTCAATATTCTGATCAATAGATGTTACATTGACCTTTAACCTACATCTCTGTTTTAATAACTTTTATTTAACTAATATATTTTTTTCAGGATGCAGATGATGACAGATTACAACAAGATTTCTCTTCTCCCACACTGGAAGATCACTTTAACAAGACAGTCTTACCTAAAGTCATGCAGGTATGTCATTAACAAATGCAAGTGAATAATTTCGACCTAATTGAATCCGTAATTATGTAACCTTTAATTTAACCTCTTATCTAGAGATTGGTTACACATGAATTAGGCATGTTCAGTTATTATAAGGAAAAGAATGTCAACATTGAAACAGAAACATGGGTAAACGATTTGATTGACTGATTCGATCCACAAAAAATCATTTTCATACAGGTAAAAATGATGATTAACGTATATTTTTAACCTACAATATGAAATCAAACAGACCTAGAAAAATCCAATTGCACAGATTTGCTATCTATTTATATCTATTTTTATGTCTATATTTGGTTATATGACCGTCAGCAGTCTTCAGAGGAAACCTCGATGGTTAATAAGATGGGATCAAGACTAAAATACACACAAAATACTGATTAAAAATTATCAAGCCCATGCATCGTAAATTGTTTATTTTATACTTTTTATAATTTGGATATATACATTTTAGTATGTTATAAATCAAATATGAGAATAAGTTGTTAATAAAAGTAAGGAACTGAGTTTAAGTCTATCATTTTATAATATAGAATCTTGAGCACAGTTTATTGTAAACAAACTTTTATTCCTGAGTAATAATTTCTTGACAAAAAAAATAATTTGACCAAAATACTTCCAAATTTATATTATTTTACTTTTGTAGTAAAGAAGAAAAAGATTGTCATGGAAGTACAATGTCACAAAATTTGCTACACATCGAAATTGGCAAAAAAGCTAGCCTTCAATTTGTTGTTAAATTTTTCCATAGCACACAATAATACATTTTCAAATACAGTTTAATTGAAAAAATTTCCACACTTTTTCTAGACATGAGAAATACCACAAAACATACAAATATAAATAATATTTTTGTATATCAACAGGTTAAAAACTTTGGACGTTCAGGAAGGACAAAATACACCCATCTTGTGGATCAAGATACTACACAGTTTGATGCCCCATGGATGACAGACACATCACAAAATCTCAAATTCCATACAGCAAAAGGTGGAGGCATGAAACAAAGCTTTGAGAGACCTTCAGGACAAAAGAAAAAATGAAAATACATTGTTCATCATTGTGGTAGTTCATCTCATTTCATTTCCATGATGGTCAGATCTGGACTGTGACTATTTTCCATTGTAAAGACTATGACTAGTTTTCTACTGTGAAGATTGAAACTATATTCCAATGTAACAGACTGTGACTATCTTTTATTGTAATATGAAACACAGTATTATTTAATAGATTACTGTTCAAATGATTTTAGGTATTATTGCTAGTATAAAATCTAACAGCACTTACGTAAAAGTTGCAAGGGATGGAATGGATAAATATTTCAAGAATTTCTAGTTCATTGCACCCACTAAAAATGTATTGTAAACTTACAAATGAAAAACGTTTTACTAAAAAATTAGTTAACTAAAAAGTTACAGTTGAAATATGAAGTTCTTGCTGTAATTTTCAAGTAGAATACTATTATGATAGTGCACACTGTTAAAACATACATAGTATAATCATTTACATGACATCAGGGCTTGTATGCCAATATCAGATCATCAATCTTTGAATTACTGCTCTAAAATTTGTTGCTTTATCCAGTCAAAAATGTTTAATACTGTAAATTCAGAAATTATTGCGTGCATTTATTATTGCGATTTTGCCATTTTAAACTTAAATGCGATTTTAATTTTTGCGATATTGAGAAAAATCCTGTTTATATCATATAAAATATTTCAAAATGCGATTTAAATTATCGCGATTATAATCCTGTCGCATTTTTCGCAATAATAAAAACATTGCAATAATTTCTGAATTTACAGTACAGACAGTGTTGCATTAGAATTATCATATACCATACTTCATTATTAAAATGTAATATTTTACTTTTACTGATATTACTGCTAACTGACAGTAACTGCAATGCAAAAAATCATTGAAGATGAAGTTCTGAAAATTTAACTACAAGAAGTTAGGACCAACTGATGTAATATGTTAAAAAAAAGTCTGCTTACATTTTTATTTTTTTATTGTGAAGTCAAATATCTTCTGTTATGAAATTTTATTTCCTGAAATGGATGAAAAGTCAAAATTTATAAGAAGCAAAATTATGTATTAATCGTATCTAAATCTTATTTTAAGGCAGTTTATCTCTATGTGAATTGTAGTGAAGAAAATACGAGTAATTCTTGATTGTGATTGGTTGATAGTTTTGTATATGTGATTGAGTATGTGAGAATGTATAATTGAAATATAAATAGTTTTAAAACTAGTGAAACTTTTGTCTGCCTATATCACCCATCACAGCTTTGTGATGTTGTATGTGTTTGAACTTTGACCCATATGTCAAAGTGTTTGAGCAGACTTTGATGATATAAAAATAAGAAGATGTGGTATGATTGCCAATGAGACAACTCTCCATCAAAGTTCAAATAAAGTGGATGTAAGCAATTATAGGCAACTGAAAATTATAAAACAATTCAATTGAGAAAACTAACAGCCTAATTTATAACAAAACAATTTACGAAAAACAAATATGACAGACATGAACCAACGACAACCACTGAACTACAGGCTCCTGACTTTGGACAGGCACATAAAGAATGTGGCGGGGTTAAACATGTTTGTGAGCGCTCAACCCTCCCCTAACCTGGGACAGTGGTGAATCAGTACAACATAAGAACAAACTATAAAAATCAGTTAAAAAAAGCTCAGCTCATCACATGGATACAAATAGAAATACATCTAACAAAAACACAGAGTACTTATACATCCCCACAACAAAAAGACACTAAGTACTTATCAGATTTTTTTCTGGTATAATCTTTCCTCAGTAGGAGTTAAATCTTGTTTACAGATTATTGCTGATTGGTATATGTCGGTAAAACAAAAGAAAAGCTTAACAAAAAAATGTGGAGCCATAGATTAAACATTATCCCAATACAAATCACGTCTAATTGCACTACAAACTGATCAGAGTCTGAAAAGACCAGTTTTTGTGCTCGACCAGTAAAGTCGAGCACACATTTTACTCGACTAGTCTCGACATTGTCTCGACAGTACTTAACTGTTCTTAATTGTACTCAACTAGGTCTCGACTTTACTTAATTAGTCTGATTCAGTACTTGATGATCTTGGTGTAGTCTGAAATGGTCTCAACCAAGGCTCGACCAGTCTCGACCTGTCTCAACCTGTCTTGACCTGTCTTGACTAGTCTCGACTCAGTCAACCAGTCTCGACCTGTCTCGACTAGTCTAGACCTTCAAATTTAGTCTTCACTGGTATAAATCAGCCCATCTAACTAAATTAAATAAAGATCTTACAAAATTCCGGTTTATTTGTTAGTTTGATTCATCGCTGTGAAATGAAAGAATTTAATTAATAGGTAAAAAAAGAATGATTAAATTCAGATAGGCATCTTTAATTTTTTTTATAACTTTTTCAAATCAACTTGGATTTTCATCTAACTATACAGCTACCTTGGTAATATATTAATCTTACTGAATCCCAGGTTGTTAAGAAGTTTGGTGTATTGCTGTCAAATTTAAGAATTAAATTAATCTAGGTCCAAAAAGCTAGGATTTGCAGTTCAGACAAAATAGAGATAGTACACCTTAATTTTTTTTATAACTTTTTCAAATCAACTAGGATTTTCATCAAACTATACAGCTATCTTAGTAATATATTGATCTTACTGAATCCAAGGTTGTTATGTAGTTTGGTGTATTGCTGTCAAATTTAAGGATTAAATTAATCTAGGTAAAAAAAGCTTGAATTTGCAGTTCGGACTATATTCAGATAGTACACTTTAATTCTTTTTATAACTTTTTCAAATCAACTTAGATTTTCATCTTACTATACAGCTACCTTGGTAATATATTAATCTTACTGAATCCCAGGTTGTTAAGAAGTTTGGTGTATTGCTGTCAAATTTAAGGATTAAATTAATCTAGGTCAAAAAAGCTAGAATTTGCAATTCGGACTATTTTCAGTAAGTACACTTTAGATTATTTCAAAGCAACTTGGATTTTCATCCAAATCTATAGCTATCTTTATTATATATTATTCTTACAAAAAACAGGTTATTTGGTAATTTGGTTTATTGCTGTCAAATTTTAATATCTAAATTATAGGTATCTATCTGAATTTTGTCAAAACTGAAAATTTTAGCCTTTTTTTACCTATTAACTAGGTCATTAAATTTGACAGTAATACACCAATATACAAAACAACCTGTTTTTTGCATGATAAATATATAATAAAGATAGCTGAAAAGTTTGATAAAAAAACCAACTGAAGCTGATTTGAAAAAGGTTATGAAATTTTAAAAAAAGACACCTTTTTTTGTTAAAACAAGAATTTAATATCATGAACTTTCATAACAATCCTTGATAACCTTTTAAAAAATGAAATGTGTTCCAAAGTTACAGTAAAAATGTATTTTAATCATATATAAAAATAATTTTTGTCAAATTTAAAGACATGGCATACAAGAACCACTTTAATATGGTTTAATTACCTCAGAAAAAGTGAGTTTTACAGGTAAAAAGAAAGCCCTACTTTTCTTAAACTCGTGTATTACTTATCTAGTGAATTCAAACAGCCCTGCGATTTAAGCTGAACAGGATGTTGCAATTTTAAATGAATGTTATTTAGAATTTAAAACTCTCTGGTAGGTGTGATCTTTTTAATAAGTTTCCCCAAGCAGGAGGTATTGCTTTATACATCACCACTAATCAGAAGAAATATTTTAATAATTTCTTTAAAGTTTGATCCCTTTTTGATATATTCATATTATATATATAAATAAAATGCTCCGCTGGGCACAGCTTGATACGACTGCAGAGGTCGAACCCTGAACAGTTGGGGCAAGTATGGACACAACATTCAAGCTTGATACAGCACTAATTTGGATTGTGATTAAATATTTGACACAGCATAGGTTTCTGACACAGAATGAATGTGGTCTAAGAACTTAAAATTTTTTAATTTACCTATTCAAACCGTATCATTATTATTTGCTTTTATATTTAAATCAGAAATAACCAATTTAAAATGGAAAATTTTAAAGAAAAAAAAAATCCCTCCCCCAAATTTTTTGAACCCCTTATGATTCATCACCCCCAAACTCAATCCCAGCCTTCCCTTTGTGGTATGGTACCTTGCAGTACAATTTCAGAGGGATCCATACATTTGAACACAAGTTATTGTCTGGAAACTAGAAAAATGCTTGTTTTTAGGCCCCTTTTTGGCCCCAAATTCCTAAACGTTTAGGGCAATTACCCCCAAACTCAAACCCAGCTTTCCCTTTGTGATATGGAACCTTGTAGTACAATTTCATAAAGATCCATACACTTACACACAAGTTATTGTCCTGAAACTAGAAAAATTCTTGTTTTTTGCCCCTTTTGGCCCCTAATTTCAAAAATTTTGAGGCAATTACCCCCAAAATCAATCCCAGTCTTCCCTTTGTGGTATGGTACCTTGCAGTACAATTTCAGAGAGATCCATACACTTGAACACAAGTTATTGTCTGGAAACTAGAAAATGCTTGTTTTAGGCCCCTTTTTGGCCCCAAATTCCTAAACGTTTAGAGCAATAACTCCCAAACTCAAACCCAGCTTTCCCTTTGTGATATGGAACCTTATAGTACAATTTCATAAAGATCCATACACTTACACACAAGTTATTGTCCTGAAACTAGAAACATGCTTGTTTTTTGCCCCTTTTTTGGCCCCTTATTCCTAAAATTTTGAGGCAATTACACCCAAAATCAATCCCAGCATTCCATTTGTGATATGGAACCTTGTGGTACAATGTCAGAGAGATCCATACACTAACACACAAGTTATGTCTGGAGGTTACAAAAATGCTTATTTTTGGCCCCTTTTTGGCCCCTAATTCCTTAACTGTTGGTACCATAACCCCCAAAATCAATCCCAACCTTCCTTTTGTGGTATTGAACCTTATGGTAAAATTTCATAGAGATCCATTCACTTAAACTAAAGTTAGAGTGCAAAAACCAATGTGTCTTCGGACGACGACGATGACGATGACGCCAGCGTCATACCAATATATGACTTCAAAATTTTTTTGCGTTCGTATAAAAAGGGATAAAACATTTAAGAAATTATATAACTATATCATATATACTTTATCCCAAATTATAATAAAAGATATATTTCAAATATCCTAGCTTTTTTTATCTAGATTAATTAAATTCTTAAATTTGACAGCAATACACCAAACTACACAATGACCTGGGTTTCAGTAAGATCAATATATTACTAAGATAGCTGTATAGTTTGATGAAAAAAACAAGTTGATTTGAAAAAGTTATAAAAAAAAATAAAGTGTACTATCTGAATTTTGTCTGAAATTGCAAATCCTTGCTTTTTTTACCTAGATTAATTTGAATCTTAAATTTAACAGCAATACATCAAACTACATAACAACCTTGGATTCAGTAAGATCAATATATTACTAAGATAGCTGTATAGTTTGATGAAAATCCAAGTTGATTTGAAAAAGTTATTAAAAGAATTAAAAACAGGCTATTATTTAAACTTGAAATTATTTTTAATTATGGAATTTGCATAATTTCTTGTTTTTGAAATTTTAATAAATTACATGTTTATTTGGACTTTAATGTTCTGTGCTGCGCACAACATTTTCTATTACAAAGAAGATAGTACATTTTTAATAGAATGTACTGTGCCGCTCACAACACTATCTATACAAAATACATTGTATAAGAAGTGTTATGCACTGCTCAAAACATTATTATACCAAATAAACATGGAATTTATTAAAAATTTCAAGCACAAGAAATTATGCAAATTCCATAATAATTGAAAATAATTCCAAGTTCAAATAATAGCCTGTTTAAAGTGTACTATCTGAATATAGTCCTAACTCCAAATTCAAGCTTTTTTACCTAGATTAATTTAATCCTTAAATTTGACAGCAATACACCAAACTACATAATGACCTATGATTCAGTAAGATCAATATATTACTAAGATAGCTGTATAGTTTGATGAAAATCCTAGTTGATTTGAAAAAGTTATAAAAAAATTAAAGTGTACTATCTGAATTTTGTCCGAAATTGCAAATCCTAGTTTTTTTCACCTAGGTTAATTTGAATCTTAAATTTAACAGCAATACACCAAACTACATAATGACCTGTGATTCAGTAAGATTAATATATTACTAAGATAGCTGTATAGTTTGATGAAAATCCTAGTTGATTTGAAAAAGTTATAAAAAAAATTAGTG